TCAGAAAGCCATCTCACAATTGCATTTGTCAAAGGAAATTCTTTGAGATAAGAAACGAAGTAGGGGCTGGGGAGATGGCTCCAAGGTTAGCAGCATTTGCTGCTCCTTCCAGAGGACCTAAGTTCCATCCCCAGCACCTACCAGGTGGCTCACAACTTCTTGTTACTGCAATTAGAGGACAAGATGGCCCCTTTGGTCTGAGCATTGGTAGTGGTTGGCTGCTTTGCTTCTCTGATGTACAGCTTTAGCTCCAAAGTCTGTCTGTGGGTTTTTATTATTTGTGTTACATGTAACTCCAGCTCTAAGAAGAGTGAATACCTCTGGCCTCAGTTACCTGAACACACACACACACACACACACACACACACACACGCACGCACGCACGCACGCACGCACACTTGAAAACAATGAAATATCTTTTTCAAGATGAGGTTTCTCTGTGCTGTGCTGGAACTTGCTCTGTAGACCAGGCTGGCCTTGAACTCACAGAGATCTGCCTGCCTCTGGCTCCTGAGTGCTGAGACCAAAGGTTTGCACTACCATGTCTGGCAAAAAATATAAATCTTTAAAAAAAAAAGAAAAATACATCAGTACCTGATTTGTACTTAATTTTACATTTTTTACTTAAAGTTTATGTGTGGTGGATCTCTAAATCTTGCAAATTTAAGCATTGGCGAGGTGAACTTAGAAAAGCAAGGGACCAAACACAACCATTGTGAAAGCACCTGAGTGTGGCTCTCTTGAAGAAACCCAAGCCCATGTTTTGGGAGTAGGTGCCATCCCCCCCAATCTCTCTACTTAAAACTCTCTAGCTTTGGCTCATCATGAAATTCTTTTCTGTGGCATAGTCCAGTGTATTAGCGGCCTTTCTATTGCTGTGATAAAATACCTGGGCGGAAAGCAACTTAGAGGAGAAAGGGTTTATTTTTAGCGTATAGTTCCAGAGAGGAAGACATGGCTGTTGAGCTGTGAGGATGAGCGCAGAGAGGACGCGTGGGCTCTGAGCTGTGAGGTCAGCCTAGCACTCAGGAAGCAGGCTTGATCACATTTCAACTGCAGCCAGAAAGCTGCGAGAGCCGGAAGTAGAGCCAGGTATAAAACCTCAAAGCCCACCCCCTGTGACTCACTTCCTGCAGCAAGGCTCCACCTCCTAAAGGTTCCATCACCTCCCCGGACAGCACTACCGCCTGAGTACCAGATGCTCAAACACGCAGGCCAATTGGCGGCATTTCTCATACAAACCATGGCATCAAGTATCTTGCTTTACCAAAGTGGAGGTCCCTAAAGGCTCAGAAAGGACCTCTTAGGCTGCTGGTGGCTGTGCCATCTGCCTGATGCTGCTGCTAAGGTGATGGTCCTTTTGTAGGGGAGTGTTGCATTGTTATGCCCAAATTCTGAACCCCAAAATCACCAAGAGGCCCATTCCGATACAAAAGCAAAGTGTCTTTTATTGTATTGTTTAACGAGCTAACCCCATTAGCTCGGGCCTTTCATCCATTCACCGCAGCATATGGCTAGAGAAAGACCCCGAGAAACCTTAAGTTGGAGATCTTAAAGGGCAGCATAAAGAGTGTCTAGGGATACACAACAGTCTCAGGATTGGTGAGCTTCCAGGCTTGGACGACCTGCCCTGTGTTGATTGGTCAACTGGTTGCTATGGCTCATAGGCCCTCCCAGGGCAGTTGCCATGCTCTGCACATCACTGTTGTGCACTTGTCTGTAAAGCACACTCAGAGCCTTAAAACACAGCCTCGCCAGCTAACTTTTGATTGGTTCCTTGCTACGAGGAGGGCATCTGACCTCCAAGTGACCAGGACAGGAGCAGCAAGGTCAGATGAATACATGTTACTCTGTCATGGCTGCTAAAATGGGGGTGGGGGATGGGCTGGTCACTTCAGCTTGAGGGATGGAGAGCTACTCCTCCAGGGATGTGATGAGACGGAGTTGAGTTTTCTCCATTGTGATGACTTGGGACATACTGCGGGAGAATATTCCTAGCATAGCTCATAGGATCACATAATGGCTCACATGACCAGACTGGTCATTTTCAGAGGGTAAGAGGAAACTACACAGAAATTACTTAGATGACAATACAGCCTTCCATGTAATGAGACCGTGTCGCAAATATGGTCTAGGAAGAGAGAACGAACACTTTGGTCAGTAGCTGGTTTGGTAAACAGTGAATGGAAGGAACCCCTGGTGGTTTGAATGAGAATGACCCCGTAGGTTCGCATATTTATTTATTTATTTATTTATTTATTTATTTATTTATTTATTTGGTTTTTCGAGACAGGGTTTCTCTGTGGCTTTGGAGGCTGTCCTGGCACTCACTCTGTAGACCAGGCTGGCCTCAAACTCACAGAGATCCGCCTGCCTCTGCCTCCCGAGTGCTGGGATTAAAGGCGTGCGCCACCAATGCCTGGCTCGGTTAGCATATTTAAATGTCCAGTTCCAGGTTGGTGGACTGTTTAGAGGAGGGATGTGTCACTGGGGGCGGGCCTTGAGGTTTTGAACCGTGATGGTCAGGTACTAAGCAAGCCCTTAATTAAATGTTTTCTTATATATGTTGCCTTGGCCATGGTGTCTCTTCCCAGCCACAGAGCAGTGACTAAGACAGACCCTCGTTAAGAGCAACAGTGTTAAGATTTAAGGCAAGCACAGAAGAGCTGGAACGGAACTTTAAACATCTTCAGTTTTCATTCTGAACCTCTGTTTGCTTTTTGCTCATACTCATCTTGTGTTTTTGTCACGCTATCAACAACCCAGCATCAGTTGTCCCCAGACAAGGCAAGGTGAAGGAAAGGCCATTTCAAAACTCTTAGAGATCTCCAAACTTATTTCCACAATGGCTGTTTAATTTACACTCCCTACCAACAGTGAATAAGGGTTCTTTTCTCTCCAGCTCCTCTCCAACATCTGTCGGGTTTGTTGATAGCCATTCTGACAAGGGTATGCGATGGTATCTCAAAGTCGTTTTAATTTTCATTCCTCTGATGGTTAAGGATATTGAAAACTTTGAAAAACAGTTACTGGCCATTCACATTTCTTTTTTTTTTAAAGCTGTCTAATTTTGATGTGTGATGCTTATTTTATTTGCAAATATTTTTAATGATAAAGTTCATTAAGAAATTTAATTGTTGCCGGCACACGCCTTTAATCCCAGCACTCAAGAGGGAGAGGCAGGAGGATCTCTGTGAGTTCAAGGCCAGCCTGGTCTATAGAGTGAGTTCCGGGACAGGCTTTAAAGCTACACAGAGAAACCCTGTCTCAAAACAACAACAACAACAACAAAAACCAACCAAACCAAAACAAAAAAAGAAAGAAAAGAAATTTAATTGCAAAATCAAGGAAAGCATTTCATCTCACCCCAAGCAGAGCGGTTATCATCAGGTAAAAAAAACAGCAACAAATGCTGATGGGGATGGATGTGTGTAGGGGAAACTTTCTTACAAATTAGTGTAGCCACTACAGAAATCATCATGTGCCGCGCCCGCTGCGCAGCCTGTATCCGAGAATTGCAGAGGGTGTCGGGATTGATGACACAGAGACCAGTTGGTGGCTTCCAGAAGGCTCCTCAAGAAGGCTCTACTTTATTCCTACCCTGGCAGGTTATATAAACCCTAACATCAGAGGTGGTAGTGGGTGGGTCAGAAAGAGGCGGTTAGTCTTTGGAAAGTTCAAGGTCAGGGTGTTCCTGTGGGCCAGCCCTTATCAGGCTCTGGGCACTGTATTGTTTTTAGTAAACATGTTTTTGGTAAACATTGTCTTCCAGATGCCTGCTCCCAGGCTGATGGGGAAGTGGGCCTCAGGCCAAGGTCTGTTGTTCCCATGATCATGGAAGTGCCTTAAAAGTCTAGCCCTGGGGAGACGACCCAGTAGGCTTGTTGAGTAAGCGTGAAGCCGTCAGTTCAAATCCCCAGCATCCCCATAAAAGTTGGGCATGGTGTTGTAAACCTGAGACCCAGAGCTGGGGAGCAGAGAGAGACAAAGGAAGACCCTGGAGGCTCGGGGACCAGGATGTGTGTGTGTGTGTGTGTGTGTGTGTGTGTGTGTGTGTGTGTGTGTGTGTAAGTGTGGCCACCATCAGGAGGATATTTTCAGGAGGCAGGGTCTTTCTCGGTTTACTGACTGCAGGGCTGTGCTTCAGGCTAGCTGGTCTGTGAGCCTCAGGGTGATTCTTATCTTCATTTCCCATCTTAGCCTGAATTCCATGCAGGAATTCAGGGTCCCTGCTGGCTTCCAGCTTGTTATATGCACTCTGGGGTGGGAACTCAGGCTGCCAGGCTCCTGCGGCCAGGGCTTCTGCCCACTGAGCCATCTCCCTGGCTCTAATATTATGTTTTTTTTAAAGAAATACTGTACTAAAACATTATTTTCCTAAATTGCTAAATTTTTCAGTATCTCCTTAACATTTGGGCCGGGGGCAACTTCTTCACCTGCCTCGCTCTCGCCTCCTGGGAACTCCTTCCTCCACAGTTGCTCCCTCCTTGATTGTCGAAGAACTAATTATTTCATACGATCCGTAGCGCGTACCATTGAATTTGATATGCTTTAATGCAAAGCGACTCTGTGGATTTAATACAAAAAAAAGATTTGTAGAACAAGGTGCTTGTTTGTTCTGAAATGAGCCAGGCATGTCTGCGGGCAGCCATGTGAACCGACATGAGCATAGCGTTTGGGAGACTCAGGCTGGGCTCTGGGTGTGGGCCAGCCGCGCAGAGGGGCTAGATAAGAACAGGCAATGGGAAACGTTCCTTATTTTGAAGGTTTGGCTTAACTGAGTATCCTGGTTAGTTCTTGTTAACAGGACACACGTCTGGGTCGTCTGGAAAGATGAGCCTCAATTAAAAAATTGCCTCTATCAGATTGACGTCTAGGCAAGTGTGTGGGGGCGTTTCTTGATAAGTGATTGATGCCGGAGGGTCCAGCCCACTGTGGGCGGTGCCACCCACGGACTTGGTGGTTCTATGTGTAAGAAAGCAGGTTGAGCAAGCCATGGGGAGCGAGCCAGTAAGCCGCTGTCCCTCATTGCCACTGCTACAGCTCCTGCCTGCAGGTTCCTGCCCTGGCTTTCCTTCGCCCTGAACTGTGACATCATGTAAGCTGAAACAGACCTTTTCCTCTCCAAGTTGCTTTGGTCATGGTGTTTAATCCCCAAACAAGGAACACTATGAGGAAGCGTTGTTTTCTAGAGTTGGAAAGTGTGGTAGTTGCTTTTCCTATTGCTGTACCTTGACAAGAAGCAACTTAAGGGAAGGTTCTTGGTGCCTGCAGTCTCGTGGCAGGGACGGTGCGTGTGGCAGGGGTGTGGCTGCTGGTCACGTTGCTTCTGCATCCAGGAAGCCGGAGGCAGACAGAAAGCGATGTATCCAGAGTCAAGCCCCCAGGCAGGGTTTCTCTGTGCTACAGTCCTGGCTGTCTTGGAACTCATTTTGTAGATCAGGCTGGCCCCGAACTCACAGAGATCCGCCTGCCTGCCTCCCTCCCCAGTGCTGGCTCTACCTCCTAAAGAGAGGCTCCTCAGGCTTTTGAACAGCACCACCAACTGGGAACCAAGTATTCTAATAACTTGAGCTTCCAGGGGACATTGCACATTCCAACCAGGACAGGAAGAGAGGAAGGCATCCCATGATGCCTTTAAGGAGAATGTCCCAAGGGAAAGACAGTGTGAAAATTGCCTTTCTGGGTGAAAGGGCAGGGTGGGATAGTCCTCAGAGGGACATGGCCGTTAAGATGGACAGCAATTGTTACAATACAGCTTGAGGGGAACCTTGGCGGATTCCATGGCAGGCAAGGGACAAACACACTAGGCAGAACTTACATGGGAAGGAAGTTTTATTAGAAAGGGAAGGCAGTGGGGGAAGAGGAGGGGGATGAAGGGAAGGAGAGAGGGAGGAGGGAGAGAGGAAGGCAGGAAACTCCTGTCGGCCCCTTCAGAGGAACAGCAGGAAAGAGAGAGGAAGTAGGTGGAGTTTTTCCTCTCACGATGTAGCAGCTATAGGACCCTGGGCTGGCCAGGGCACTGCCTGAGTGCATGCTGCCAGGTGACGGGGCAGGCCAGCATAATGCCTGAGTCCTTACACCAATGGTCCGTGGGACTGTGCTATCAGCCTGAGGAGCACATGCCTACCAGAACAAGTAGATCTTCTTGGTGGCACTGTGAGGCAGGCAGGGGGGTGAGGAAACGTGTGGGCCATAGGGGAAGGGGGCAGACGGGGTTGGGATAGCAAGAATATGAGGAAGTCTGCACTGCACTTCGGTAGAGGGCAAGGAACACAGAAAACGCTCACTCTCTATTTCAATATTCTGAATATGAGCAAGCCCCCCTCCCTGCCAATTAATGCAATTCAGCCATGCTGTTGCATGTCTGTTTTTTTTATTTCCCTGGGTACGTTCTGCTTGTTACCCCTGTTTATAATTCTCTTAAAGACATATGCAAACAGTTGATGGTGACATTAATGGAATTCAAAATGCAGGAAAAACTAGGTGTGGTGCTTCACACCTGTAATCTCAGTACTCCCCAGGCCAAGGCAGGAGTGCCAAGTTCAAAGTCTGTTGTTCCAGGCCAGCTTGAGCTGTAAAGATCCATTCTCAGAGAGAAATCAACATGGAGTGACAGAGATGGCTCAACAATTAAGAGCGTGTACTGTGCTCGCAGAGGACGCATTCATTTCCCAGCACCCAAGCCATGTGGCTCACATCTGCCTGTAACTCCAGATCCAGGGGATCTGACGCCCTCTTCCCGAGGCACTACATTCACACACACACACACACACACACACACACACACACACACACACACACACACACACACAAAGGCCAGATAATTAATAATCAAAAACAGAACAAAAAGCACACACAGAAGAAATGCCACCTGTATTTTGAGTACCTCAACCACTTTTGTTTTTATGTCTCTCAGGCCTTTCAGGAAAGCCTATAAAATGCTTCTATCTTAGTTTCTCTTCCTGTTGCTGTGATAAAATGTCTCTACAAAAGCAGCTTAAGGGAGAAAGGGTTGATTCTGACTCAGCTCAAGGGTGCGATCTGTGATGGCAGAGACGTCTCGGAGGGAGGCAGGGGCTTGAAGCAGCTGATGTCATTGGATCTGGAGTCAAGAGAAGGCAGGGGCTTGAAGCAGCTGACATCATTGGATCTGGAGTCAAGAGCAGACAGCGATGAATGCTCCAGGCCGGTGGTCCTAGCTGCTTCTCTGTGGCTGTGATAAGGCCACAGCAAAGGCAGCTTAGGGAGGGGAGGGCTTATGTTGCCTAGAGTTAACTGTCCATCATTGAAAGAGGCCTGGGCAGGAACTCAAGACAGGAGCTGAAGCAGAGGCCACAGAAAAATGCTGTTCACTGACTTGCTCTCACAGAGAAATGCTGCTCACTGACTTGCTCTCACAGAGAAATGCTGCTCACTGGCTTGCTCTCACAGAGAAATGCTGCTCACTGGCTTGCTCTCACAGAGAAATGCTGAGGTTCCCTCTTTCTAGATGATTCTTGTTTGTGTCAAGTTGACAAACCAACCAACACTCTTTCCACTTTATACAGTCCAGGACGCCCTGCTCAGGGAGTGATCTGGGCCACACTTAAGATGGGTCTTTCCAGGTCTCTTAACAAAAGGAAGATAATCTCTTGCAAATGGCTGGGAAGGCATCTTGCACTGTCCTGTTATAGGACTCACTAGATGGAAGGAAATCTCCCATGAGGATAACTGACACAGACAGAAGATCTTATGCAGTAATGGATTTCAGTGTTTCTCGAATGTTGCTGCTGAGGTAGAGCTGACATACAATGCCACTCTGTTTGAGATGGACAGCTTGAAGAGTTTTGATATGGCAGTGCAGCTGTGACAATGTCACCATAACTGGTGGTATGAACTTTTCTATCATTCCCCCAAATCTCCTCATGCCCCTGTCTTTCTTTTCCTTTTTTTTTTTTTTTTTTTTTTTGCCACTTCTCTGTAGGAAACCACTCATCTGGCCCCCTCTGGCCACCATAGATCAGCTTCTACAGGCTTCCATCATTGCCGCCTTTCGCTCTTATCAACACAATTGCTTTGAGATCCAACCACGCTATTCACCTCTATTTATAATGTCTTTCGTTGTAAATGTGTGTTATTTAATTATTCAGTGATGGAAATATCTAATAACTGGTCAAAAATCTTCCTGAAATTATAACAATCATCTTTTTTGAATTGGTGCAAACTGGTTTTGGTGGGGTACATCTGGTGGGCTCTGTGCCCGTGTGTGTGTGTGTGTGTGTGTGTGTGTGCGAGTGTGAGTATTTGCGTGTGTGTGTGTGTGTGTGTGTGTGTGTAAGTATGTATGTATGTGTCGTGTGTATGGTGTGTGTGGGGGTGTGTGTATAACTTTAGACAGGAAGCTGAGAGACTTTGGGGCAGCTGAGGGATTGGTAATAATTGAAAAACGAATGAAAAGAGAATGATAATTTTTAAATTCTTTTTTTTTCCTCTGTGGTTTTCAAGCTAAAAAACTGCATTAGGCATGGTAATGTAAAATTTTACCTGTTGGTGACTGGGCTGTGGTTTAATTAATGCCTGGCTGGCCAACAATGCAGCTATGCATTGGTCTGTTGGCACAAGGGACTTGTGCTATTGAAAGTGCTTTGAGAGACCTCTTGATGCTGCTCAACTGGGAAAACTATAGAAAGGGAGTTAGGGTTTAGGATTGGACACAAGGATGCTTGTATATCAAGAGGTCACGGTTACCTCTTAGCCTCTCCCAGAATTCCAAGTGCTGACAAAAGGATAGCAGAGGGCTTCCGGTGCATTCTGTCAGGGTAGGTTATGGCCGGAGAGATCTGATTTGGGGGTTACTGCTCACTGTATGATGACCTTCACATGTCTTTTCCTGGGGCTGGGATATAAGGAGTTGTTTTATGCATCTTCTGTGTTGTAACAAACCCAGCAAGAAGGATTGAGCAAGTACTGCCTACTCCGCACCCCCTGACAGCTGGCTCCCAGCTCAGAACAGTTTGTATCTTTTTGGTTTAACAGGTAAATCACCCTCAGGAGAGCAAATACCAGCTACTCTTCAGGGGAGGCTGGTGGCCACCCCAGGAGGCAGAGGAGACTGAATCTGCTGCATCGGACTACCATGGGTTCACCTGCTACCCAATATTCTAATTTCCCTTCTGTTGCAGTGATAAAATATTTCAAATAAAAGCAGCTTGGGGAGGAAGGGTTTATTTAGCTTCCACTTTCGGGGCACAGTCCGCCACTGAGGAAGTCAAGGCAGGGACTCAAGCAGGGACTGACGTGGAGACCGTGGAGGAACACTGCTTACAGGGTGGCTCCCTGGCTCACCTACGGGGTTTCTCTGTGTAGCTCTGGCTGTTCTGGAACTTGGTTCTGTTCTAAAACTGGCGTCGAACGAGATCCACCTGCCTCTGGCACCACCACTGCCCCACCTACAGTTCCTAGAGCAGTGGTTCTCAACCTTCCCAAGGCTGTGACCCTTTAACACTTTTCCTCGTGTGGTGGTGACCCCAACAATAAACTTAATTTCTTTGCTACTTCATAGCTGTAATTTTGTTACTGTTACGAATCATAATGACCCACAGATTGAGAACTACCAGCCTAGACCCAACTTCCCAGCATTGGCACTATCCACAGTGGGAATACCAATCAAGTCAAAAAACAAAACAAAACAAAACAAATCCAGCCCAATTTGATCGAGAGAGCATTCCAGTAGAGACTCCTTCAGGTTACTCTGAGCTGTTAGGCTAACTGGGAGAGATGAGCATGAGCAGGGCTATGACAGTGTCTCTGAAAGGGGCTTTCTGGTGGAGATTAGCATGGGGGTCAGCAGAGAGGGAAGGATTTCCAGGGTGGTCAACGTAGAGATGGGGAAATCATAGAGGTCAAGGGCAGAGTGAGTGCGGGGTGTTCTGTGAGGAGTCTATGGACAAAGACAAGGGTGTTGTCGTTGGGAGGGCGCTGGTGACTCCACTGAGGGATGCTGGTGGAGAGAAGGGTGCTACATTCAGTTTGGGAGGGAGTGAAGCTGGGGAATGAGCAGGAAGCCAGGAGGTGGGCAACCCTTTGTGGTCATGAAAAGGAGAGAGGGAGGGTGGTCACTGGGTTGGGCGGGATCGCTACTCTTAATTTTAGGGTGGGCGCTACTTTCATCTGCTGGACATTTGAGACGGAAAGGTTAAAGATGTGGGAGGGGGGAAGGGGGCAGTGGATGGCAACGGGGAATGGCAGAGTGGGAGTAAATTACAGAGTGCTGGCAGGATGATCAGATTTGAACCAGGAAAGAGGAAGAGTGATATTGACATTTATTCAGTGCTTTTGAAATGCCAAGGGCTGGTGTTTGGCTTTGCTTAATCCTTCGGCAAATCATTTCAGTTATTGTTGTGCAGATCAAGTTCAGAGACGGTAAGTTTATCAGGATTCAAGGCTGCAGTGTGGAGGATGGCCATTTCACGCTCTAAAATCTAGGGAAAACAAATGACAACAGCAGAGTCAGACGGGAGAGGACTGCATGGCTGTTGCAGCAAAGGCATATAAAGCTACAGTGGTTTAAGCAAATAACAGTTTATCTTCCGAGAGGCTGTGCAGAGTGAGCTAGTTTGGGCTGGCAGGCTGGCTCACTCCTGGCCAGGGAGCCTGGTCCCTACCATCTTGTTTTGCAGTTGCTGGGAACCCCCATCCACACAGACAATAAAACTTACTTTTATATTGGTGGTAGAGCCTGAGGCAAGAGAAGGAAAGAACATCCAATCCAGGTAGATCTTTGAGGAAATTTCCTAGAATGTGTATATATCTTGTTTGGCCTAATTCTGCTTAGGTTTCATTGTTCCACTTAGCTGCAAGGGAGGTGGGAAAATGGAGTTGCTTTTCTCTCCCCAGGTTTCATGTATGCCCAGTGATCACTCAGAGTCTCTGCTACTACAAGGAAGGGGAAGTGGATGTTGTGTGATGACCCTCATTCTTCTTATAGAGTCGCTCTCACTGAAGGCATGTCGAAAACATGAATGCTGTTGGCATGCTAGATGCTCATGAAAGCAACCAATGAGAAAAGTATTCTTTAGCAATTTGGAAACCGTTCTTTAGCAAGCCCTGCTTCCAAGATGGAGAGGATATATCCAGCCATCTTGCCCTTGTACCATTCCTCTGTGGAGCCTCCTGGAATCTTAACATCTTTTGAAAATGGTGGTGTCAATGTCAAGTGATTGCACGGCCAGTGGCTCCTCGTGGGAAGGTCTGCATAATTTTAATATTTTGCTCATTAAAACAGGGAGAGTGGCAAAAGAGAGCCATGTCCGTGTGAAATGAGTGAAGATAGCAGATGAAGGATGGGGGTCAGAGATGGTTGGGGAGACTGGGTCTTGGGTAGGTGTGGTAGTGGATGGTGGGTGGGAGATGGGTTCCGCTACTAGTTGTCAAGAGGGGGATGGTGTTTGCAGAAACTCACAATTTTCAGTAGAATCTAGAGCCCTCAATTTTTAGCATGTAATTGAAAAAATTAAAGCTTGTTTTCTTTTTTACTTTCTTTTGAATCAAGTTCTCACTATGTTGCCCACCTGGCTTCAAACTCTTCTACTCAAGTAATCCTCCTGTCCCGGCCTCCTTTGTTGTTTTTTTAAGACAAGTTTCTCTGTGTAGCCCTGGCTGTCCTACAGTTTAATTTGTAGACCAGGCTGGCTTTGAACTCAGAGATCAGCCTGTCTCTGCCTCCCAAGTGCTGAGAATAAAGGTATTTACTACCTTAAGAATATAAGGCTAGGGATATATATATATATATATATATATATATATATATATATATATTTGGTTTTATGAGACAGGGTTTCTCTGTATTGTTTTGGAGGCTGTCAGTCCAGCCCGGCCTCGAACTCACAGAGATCTGCCTGCCTCTGCCTCCCGAGTGCTGGGATTAAAGGCGTGCACCACCACCGTCCGGCTGGACTTTATATTTTTAAAAACAAAGATTTATTTATTTTATGTGTATGAGAGTTTTCCCTTCATGCATGTCTGTGTACTACCTGCATGCCTGGTATCCATGGCAGCCAGAAGAGGGCATCAGATCCCCAGGAAATGGAGTCATAGATGGTTGTAAGCTGCCATGTGGGTGCTGAGAACTGATCTCAGGTCCTTCAAGAGCATCCAGGACTTTCAAGGACTGAGTCACCTCTCTAGCCCAGCGCCCTCTGTTGTTATTATAAAATGGGATTATCACTAATCTCAGAAACATAGGGACGATGGAAGGAAACAGCGTATGTCTTTGCTAGATAATTATGTGTGCACCTTACTTCATGATACATTTGCCTTTGGTTTGATCCATTCTCAGGGTTCTTATCTTCAGGACTGAGAAGGTCAGTTCAGGTATTGTGAAGAAGACTCAGTAGAGACCAAGTGTCTATGGGGCTCAGATGTCCTCTTTCAGCTCTTCAAAACTATTCTGATTTATATTTTCCAGCCTGTTTTTTTTTTTTTTTTTGAGATCTCATAGTCAAAAGTTTGGATCTATTTCATTTGATCACCTAGCTTGGACTGGAGAAGATTCTTTGTTCTCACTGTCATTTGACATTTTCCCTTGAGTTAAAGAATACTCCCAAGACTTTATTGTCTTTCTTCTGTTTCAGAGACAGTGGCCTCAAACTCACTATGTAGCAAAAGTTTGCTTTGGATGTCCCATTTTCCTGTCTCCTTTTCTCAAACACCACCTCATCAAGCTGTGTCTTATTTTTTTACAATGAGAGTAATTAGGGGCTGGAGAGATGGCTCAGCAGTTAAAAACATTTACTGTTCTCACAGGGGCCCTGAGTTTGATTCCCAGCACCCACATCTGATGGATCACAAGTGCCTTTAACTCCAGGTCCTACTTCAGATGCCCTCTTCAGGCCTCCTCTGGCGTATACACAGAGATACTTGCAGACACATAAATAAAACATAATCCTAAAATAAAGTGAGACTAATAATAACTAGTCTCATAAAATTAATTTTGGACTCAGTTAGGTGATACATTAAAACCTTTAATGTGTTTTCCCCAGTATATAGTAGTAAATATTCAATAAACATTCATTGTAATAGACTCTTGTGAAATAGATGCCTGAGTCTGAACACCTCCAGAAAACAAAATCTAGGGACTGTCATCTGGTTATACTCGGTTCTTTCTCTGAAAATCTAATTTCCCTCATATTTACTATCTTCCTTATTGTTGCCTTTTCCGGTATGCAACATATAAAATGTTGAAATTTCCTTGTTGACATTGACATTTGAGTTTTTCACAGAGAGCAAAGAACTTCCTAACAACAATTTTCAAACACTTCGGAAAGAAAATGGGCTCCACTTCATTGATTCTATCTGATCTGACAAGTACCACCCAGAAAACAGTTTGGGACTACATTGGTCTACACAACTCCAAACTAATTAATTGATATGGTGCACCTTCTACACTCTGGCCAGAGCCTCAGGCAAGAGTTCCAATCAACATTAGAACTTCAATCAAGAGCTTCCATCAAGCATCTCCTGCCAAACAGAGACTGGGTACAAATGTTGCAGCCAGCCCACTAGAGACTTCACTACACTAACATTTTCTTCCTACAGGATCCCATGAGGTTGTCATCATCTCATTTCAACACGAAGTAATTTTGAGAATACCAGGCCCCTTTTCCCTGTTGTTGATATTTCAGTATAATTTACACCTGCTAGGGTTAGTTTTCAATTACTTAAGGTTGGGATTGGAAGGAGGTGTTCAGACTTGGGCATTTCTTTCAGATAAATTTAGGGTTTAGATGGGATAGATATGCTTAGGACAGGATATAGGTAAATTATAATTTATCACCACACACACACACACACACACACATGCTTTATATATGTTTGAGACAATTTTGTTTGTTTCAAGTCATCCACATCATCCTTGTATCTTACCCAAATGGAAGATATAGAAAATACGGCTAACTGTTTTGATCTTGGATAACACTTTCTTTTTCCAGGCAAACTTCTTCATGAGTTCACGAAATACCTTGAGCTGTTTTTCCATCAGGAGATGTATGTTATAGATAAAAGGGTAGGAAATACTGCATAAATGCCCTTTGTGTGGCTTCCTACAGTAAGAGGGCAGTGTTAGGTTCAGGGTGTCCCACAACAACAAAGTGACCTTTAAAGAAAAGCAATTTATTCACAAAGCAAATCTCCCAAGAAAGGAGGAGAAAGGCCTTTTGTGTTGGGTCTTTGGCTGGGGCATTGTTTCACAATGCTTGTGGTAATTACCTGCAATGTACTAAGGGTTTCTAATTTCAGAGCCGAGGGATCTTGGAAAAGGCAATCTTGAAATCTACCAGTGATGGATGCACAGTGTGGTATGCTCAAAGCCTGACAGCCAAAAATGTGGGTGTAAAATGCAAATTGGTGACTAGGTCCTTCTCCCTGTTGTCACCTCACAATGACATCTTTTCAACACATAGATACATACCCTGTTATTATTACCCATTGGTTTCATGTCCTTTGTTGCTATTATTATAATAATAACAAATAATTCCATATGTCTGTTGGATTCCAGACCAT